CGCCACCCTGCTGGGCCTGGACAGACAGCGGCCTGGGTTCTTCCCAAAGATGGGGAAGCGGGGGACCTGCCACCCTCCCAGAGGAGCGGAGCCTGGAAGCTCCCAGAGGGCGGGACCTTGACCCAGCTTCAGTGTGACAGCTGGACCCTCTGGGCCACGAGTGGGGCCTGGCGCACAGTGGGGCCCAGGAACGGCAGGAGGCGCTGGGCTGTGCCTGGGGGGTCCCTCTGTGGCTCTCGCCCTCCTCGAGCACCTCACCGCCCTGTGCATGGGGGCCGCCTGGGGGTGGCAGGGGCGGGCGCCGCCTAGACGCAGGGTGCAGCTGCACAAGATGCCCGCGCTGTCTTCAGAGGCCCTGGAGCGTCACCCTGGGCCCTGGAGTGGGCGGGGAGCTGGAGCACCTGCCGGGGACAGGGTCCCCTCTGCCCAGGGCCTGCTGTCCCCTCTCCTGGGGGCCTGATATCGAGGGCAGCTGGGCCAGGTGGGCCTGTCCAGGGTGCTCACTGCCAGGCTTGGCGTACACTGTCCCCGAGGGCCGCCCCTTCCCCTGTGTCAGTGGCCCTGGGCAAACCCCGCCCAGTGAGGGTCTGCCAGCGCTGGGCAGTGACGGGCGGTGGGCGCGGCTGGGCGCAGCGTTTCTGTCCCTCTGTCTCGTCAACATCGGGAGAGGACACTGGGAAGAGGGGCAGTGGTCCAGGCAGAGCCTCCCTGGAGACCCTGGGTGAGGGCCCCACTTCATCTCCCGCCAGTGCTCAGAGGACGTTCTTGCTGCCTGGAAGGTCCCTGTGCCTTGGCCACGGGGCTGGGCAGAGCCAGCGGGGCCTGCCATTCTTTCAGGTCAGAGCTGCTCCTTGTGCCACCAGTGGCTTCTTTGAAGCTTCTCAGTGGGTGGCCCGAGCTCCCATTGTCCCAGCACAATGTGGTGGCTGAGCTCCTGTGAAGAAATGGGGACAGGAAGCCCATCTAGGCCAGCCACTCCCTGGCCCTGCAGGACGTCTGCTGTGCACTGGGCAGGTGTTTTGTCCCTGGGCCTGGGGCCTGGCTTCCTGTGGGCGTCCAGCCCTGTCCAGACATCCTCTAGGAGCTCTGTCCGTCCCTCCCTTGCTGTCCTTTCCAAGGCCAGCCAGCAGGGCCTGTCCCGCCAGGCACTTCCCGCTTCCTGTGGTCTCCCAGCCTGCTGGTGCCCGGCCCCCTCCTGGCCCTGGCTTCTGCTCCCGGAGCTCTGTCCTGTTACCTGTGAAAGTCCCCGCAGTGTCACCAGGCTCCCACACTTGGGAAGAGGAGTCTAAGATTCAGAGGAGCCGTACACGTTCCTGAGTCACACACAGGAGGAGGAAGACCCGCGGGTTTCCAACCTGACCTCTTCCGTTGGAGCCAGGCTCCCTTCTTAAGCTTGGCCTGCCCCTGAGCGAGTGTAGATACTTCCCCTCAGTTTTCTCAGCTCTCAAACAGGAAGGTGATGAGAGCATGAAGGCAGGAGGGCCCCTTGGAGGAGGAGACATCTGAGCAGGGCCTGATGGGTAAGAAGGAGCCTGCTCAGGGTGGACTGCTCAGAGCAGCCTGCTAGCAGGTAAGACACGTGCAAAGGTCCTGAGGCAGGAATAATAGGTTTGGCTGAAGATTCCTGAAGTATGGGAGGATGCGGTGCTAGAAGGCGGGGTCAGAGGGCTTGGGGGCCTTATGGCCCTGGAAGGTTTGGATGTCCTCCTGTGGAAGTCATGGAAGTTTTGAGCTATGGGTGACAAGATCTGGTTTATGCGTTTAGAAGGATCTCTCTGGCTCTGTGTGTGGACTAGACTCCCGGGAAGGTGAGGGGGACCAGGGCAGAGGTGACTGTGTTAGTCCAGGTGGGGATGCGGGGCCTGGGCGGGGGCTGGCTGTGAGGTCGGGAGAGGCGGTGGGCTTTCCCAGGGGAGGCCGGTGGCGTTTGCACATGGACTGGAAATGGACCTTAAAGAAGGGCGTGAGGACGGCGGGTGTGCTGGAGCCCCGGAGGCAGAGAGGCAGTGACTGGGTGGGGCGCTGGGGGAGGAAGGAGGCGGGTGGGTGGGAGGTGCGCCTCGTGTGCCCAGGTGTACCCGAGGAGAGCCACTGGAGGGGGCCCAGGCTGGGGACATACACCCCAGGGTGTCAGCCCAAGGTGGACTTCAGCCCCAAGACGGGTGGGTGTGGTGGGTGTGGCCGCTCTGCGTTGCGCCTGGACGGAGACCCAGATGCCGCGAGTGGGCCCCCGCAGCTCGTCCTCTCAAGCCTGAGTCTGGGTGGTCCTCACCTGCGTGATGGGAAAGGATCCGACCGCTGAATGTGGAGGCCAGCCTCCCTGCTGCCTCCTGCAGCTGCCTCCCCGACCCAGCTTTGTGGTGGCCTGTCCCCGCCATCTTTCCCAGCACACGTAGGGCCCCGGGCCCTCTCATGGTGAACCTGCAGGTGGGCTCTGTGGCAGGAGGCCCCTGTTCGCCAGCTGCCAGGCCCGCTCAGCTCACGGTGGCCTGGGGTGGCACAAGTCCTTGGACTCCCTCTCCCCGGGTCTCCAGGGACTGTTGCCTGGTTAACTGGCCCAGGCCCAGGGCTGAGCTGGGGCGAGCAGGCGCAGGTCGCTGGTGACCTGTTCTCCTTCAGGGCCACCTCGCCCCTCCCTCCCCACCTTCAGCCCCTCCCCGCTGGCTCTGTCCCACACCCCCCAGGGCCAGGCCACGGTCACCTCTCAGTGGCACACGGCACCCCTCTGCCTGGTTCCCTGCTCTGCATGGCCCTGAGATCCTGTTCCCCCAGGAGCGGGGCTGCTCTCCCCACACCCCGAGCGGGGAGGCTCAGCTATAAGGTATCCAGATGGCAGCCGGGTGCCGTGGCGCACACCTGGGGTCCCAGAGACTCAGGAGCCCCAGGCAGGAGGATCGCAGGTTTGAGGCCAGCCTCAGCAACGCAGTGAGACCCTCAGCAACCCCGTGAGACCCTGTCTCAAATCGAAAACCAGAAAGGGCTCAGGGGGTGGGCTCACCCCCCAGGAAAAGCCAAACAGAATAGAGCAACCAGAACACGGTGGCCCTGAGCCTCTGCCCCCGACTGTGCCCTCTAGGAGCGGACAGGAGGCAGCTCCCTCAGGTGGGCTTGTGCCTGCTTGTCCCCCGTCCCTCCTTTTAATCATCAGACTTTGCGCCTCGCGGAGGAGGGAGGCGATTTCTCTGTGCTGAGCCCCAGAACAGTGCTGCAGAAGGACTGTGGTCCACCCACACGGGAGGACAAGGGGCCCTGTTTGAGGACGGAGGGTGCTCCAGCGAGGGGTGGTGGTCACCGTCCTGTGCACCCTGCCCTCTCTCCTGGGGGTAGAAGGAGCAGATGCGAGAGTTGCTGTGTGCACACCCCGTGCACCTGGCCCATCCTGCATGCACCTGGCCCGCCCCGTGTGCACCTGGCACATCCCCACGTGCACCCGGCCCACCCCCATGTGCACCCGGCCCACCCTATATGCACCTGTACACGTGGGGTTCGCAGCTCTGGAGGCCCTGAGAAGCCCCTGGCTGAGATTCGCATGGGGGTGGCAGGGGCAGGACGCGGGAGTGGGACGTGGGGGCAGCAGGCAGGTGGCAGCGGTGGCGGTGGGGACATGGGGTGGGCCGGCTGGGAAAGAGCCTTTTCCTGTTTTCGGGTTTGTACTCCTGACTTCTGAGCGAACGTGTTAAAGTTTGAGGGTTAAGTTGCTTAGGAAAAAAAGGATGAGACATGAGGAGAGGTGAATGGTCGCCCACCAGGGACTGTGGGTGGCAGTGAGGGGGGAGCTGGCCCGTGTCATTCTCTTGGGTCTCTTCAGGCCCCACGGAGGGTGCAGCTGGTGCAGGGTGGGGGGCGTCCCTGGCTCGGGTGTAAGCAGAGCCAGTTTCCCTGTCCCTGGACCATTGCCTCGTGGGCCCTGGGGGTCAGCCCGTCCCTCCCGGCGCTGACTGTCCTTGTCTCCACAGGCCTTCCTGCACCGCATCCGGCAGAACGCGGCGGACTCCGTGGAGAAGGGGCTCACGGATGAGAACGTCAAGGTGGGACGCAGAGCTGCCCCCCCCCCCGGGAGGGCCCTGCTGCTGGCCATGCTGGGAGGGCAGATCACCTGCTGGCCCTGGCTTGGTGCTCCCCAGCCTTCTCCCATGTCCCTGGAGGACTCCCGGGGCCGTGAGCGGCTGGCTGGGTCCTGCTCCAGTGCGGGACCCTCCCTGGCCCCGCGGCCCCGCCTCCCAGCTGCCTGGGTCTGGCGCCGGCTCCGACCAGGGGAGAGTCCTTTCCCAAGGGCCCTGGGAGCCCGGCTCCTGCAGCTGCCTCCCGCCCGGGCTGGGCAGCGGGGTCAGGGCCAGGGAGTGGTCAGGCAGCTCTGTCTGGCAGAGGCTCAGGAGGCCGAGGAGGAGATCAATGGCCTTCTGTGTGGCACCGGCCTCCCGCCGGCCTGGCTCTGACGTGACCTTGCTCTCTGGGAAGCCGCTGCGCAGTCCCAGGGACGGTAAGGCCCTGGTCTGAGGGGACCGTGGGCATCTGAGGTCCCAGCCACGTGGCCAAGGAGAATGCCCGCCCCCTCCAGGTGTCCCTGCTCGACTGGACGGGGACCTCGATGGCTCTGAGATCACATTGTGCCTAGGAGAGTTGAGGCTCATGGTGGCCCGGGGACGGCTGGGGGGGTGTTGGGGTCCCTCTCCAGGTCCCCTCCTTAGCCTGCTCCCTTGGCACACTGCTGAGCATGGCAGGGGTTGGTCTGTCTGGCCCGCGGTGGTGACTTCACGTCCCGTCTCCGAGATCGGGGCAGGTCGAGTGTTCAGACCCTGCAGTGAAGGCCCAGGATGTGTGCCACCCGCCCAGACGAAGGCAGGAGCATCCTTGTCCCTCTACACAGTCCTCCCTCTCAGGGCACACTGGCTCCTGACGCCATCGGTTGGCGTCGCCTGTCCTTGCGGGTCCGGGTCTTGCCTTCACGTCGCCTGGGAGCTGCCCTGGGTCTGTGTGGGGCCCGTGATTTTTCATGGCTCTGTAATACTTCCCACAGCCTCCTCTTGCTGGCCGTCGTGACTGTGCAGGCGGCTTTCGGGTGGACGTTTCTCATTTCCTTTGGGTCCACGCTCCAGCCCTTCCTTACAGTCACCGAGGGCCTTAGGAGTGGGGTCAGCCCGTGAGCGGACGCACTGGAGGGACCCAGCACTGCGGGCTGGGGCTGCCACAGCCACTTCCCGTGACGGGCGCCCCGGGCACCCCCACCATGGGGGTGGGACTCCTCTGCTCCCTGCCGTATCCTCTGGGCCTCTGAGCTGGCACACAGTAGGTGCTCAGAAAATGCCGGAGGGAGCAGGACTGCCGCCTGTGCTCATTTCCGCGCTGGGGTTTGAGCCGAGGGAGCACCTTGCTTGCTCAGCACTAAACTGACAAAGACACTTGTGCAACAAACAGAAGGAAAATGGAATTTGTGAAGTTCAGATCAGAAAGATCTTTCCTGTCCTTTCCGGAGACCTCCACAGTTGCCAGTTTATATCACCACCTAAAAAGTCTCTGTTCCCACCAGCACAGATAGGAGGGGCCATTTTTGGTGCTGTTTTACACAAACAGGCCCCTAATGGAACCTGTTCGGCACCTGGATTCCCCTCCCTGCCACACACTTAAAATCTACATGAGCATGCAATGGGATTCTGTGTGTGTATGTATCCACAGGTTCTTTTTCCAGGTGCATAGTATTCCTGCCTGTGGAATGTATCTTACTATAATGTGATTAACTGGTTCCTACAGGTGGATATTTGTTCCCAATTTTTTTGTTAATGCCAGTGAGGCTGCAGCACCGTCACTTGGCTGAGCCCCCAGACTCCCGTCTGGGCACTGTGGACACTGGTGCCTGAACGTCTCTGTTCTGTGCCCCACAGTGGCATGCCTGGTCTGTGACTGCAAACACCAGTAGCACTCTCCTCTCTGTCCCATAGTTTGTGACAGCCCAAAACGTCCCCAGACGTGCCAGATGTCTGTCTCCGGGGGGGCAAAAGTCCTCTAGCTGGAAATGACTGAAAGGCTACATTTCAGTGTGGAATTACTGGGTCAGGTTGCACTTGACCCTCTGGGTGGAGGTGAGGGAGCAGGCAGCCCCACGTGGGGTGTCTGCATGACAGGTTCCAGACCCCCAGACCGCGTTTCCTCCCCGTGTTGGTGTGGACACGTGCCGCTCAGTCCTGGGGCTGGCGCGCACTGGCATGTGGGCGTGGCGGGCCAGGGTGGCACCCTTGCCCCTGGGGCTTGGCTGGCACATGGTGCTGGGGTGCTGGTCCCTCACCCGCAGGCTGGGGGTGAGCTGGCTGACATGACGTGACCGTGACGTGACCAGGATGACCATGACCACCTTAGCTCTGGGCCGGTCTCTGCCCACGCACACAGGCTGCCTGCTCTCAGGCGCCCACCTTCTCGGGGCGGCCGGGCCAGCGGGAGAGCTCCCGTCTCCCTGCAGGCTCCGGTGCCCGGAGCTCTGTCTCCTGGGGCGCGTGGCTTGCCCTGGCCCTGCACACGAAAAACCAATGCTTGCTCGCAGATCCTCTTCTCCAACATCGAGGACATCCTGGAGGTGCACAAGGACTTCCTGTCCGCCCTGGAGTGCTGCCTGCACCCGGAGCCGCAGTCTCAGCACGAGCTGGGCAACGTGTTCCTCAGATTCGTGAGTACCTGCCCAGGGCGCCCCTGCAGGCCCGTCTGGGAGGCGGGCCGTGGTGGGCTGCTCCTCCCAGGCACAGTGGGCAGCGGGTGGCCCCTCTCTACTTCCTGAGGGATGTGGCCTCTTGCTGAGTGGCTGTGCCCTGAGGTCCCATAGCCAGCTGGCTGAGAGCCCCTCTGCCACAGAGTGGCCAACAGAGGCAGCCAGCGGCCGAGAGCACAGGCTGGCCCAGACACACTGGGTTTGAACCAGGCTTGGCCACCCCCTGGCCAGAAGGGCACCAGGTGCCTAGTGCTGCTTGGGCCACAGGTCAGAGGGGCTGGGTGGTCCTCCTGGGCACTGTGGGGCTGGGCAGCCGCAGGCTCGCTGTCCATACCTCCTGTCCTGTGTGCTGTGGTGCGTGGCGTGCAGGGCTGGGTCACCTTCTAGGGAAAGCATGAGGGTTCGTCCCTCTGGGGCCAGCAGCCGAGGCTCACGTCCCTTCAGTGCTGACCAGCCAGGGACCGCAGTGTCACCGCACCCTGCGGCCTCTGTCTCCCACTGTCCAGCACAGGGAGCAAGGGTCCTGCTGCCCAGGCTGGGGGGCAGTCACTTGAGGTGAAGCCCTGGGAGCTAGCCAGCCTTGAGCCCGTGTCCCGTGAGTGGCAGCTGGGGGAGGGCATTGGAGGAGGTGGCACTGGGCTTGGCCGTGACATGGTGGCCCGGCTGAGAGTGGAGTAGCCGACTTAAGCAGGAATGGGGCGGCTCCGCAGGTGCGGGTGGGGCTCGTCTCCTGCCCGGTCTCCTGCCCACACTGAGGGCTCACAGGACCCTTGGGTCCCTGCTGGGGCGCTCAGCTGTCCTCCCGTCACTCCCTGGGATTTCTGGGGAGGGAGGAGGGAGTGCGCGTGGCACCCTGCCCGCGCTGCCCAGACCCCCGTGGAGACCCGTGAGACCGGTGCTGCCGAGGGCCTGCTCGCCAGCTGTGGTGCTGTGCGACCCTCCTGGCACCCGGGACGCAGCCCGGCCCTGCTGCTCCCTGCTCTGTGGCCCTCGAGACTTTCCCTCTCACTGCCTGTGTCCCCCTCTGTCCCCTGGGACAGTGACACCTCCGTGCAGGTGATCGGGCGAGGTGGCCCAGGCAGTGCGTCCTTACCCATGTCGGGCTCTGGGGTCACCATGTCCCTGTGATCCTGGGCTCTCTGCTCCCTGGAGCCTCTCCTGAGCTTCTCTGGGCAGCTGCAGAGTCCCCAGGCCGTGGGCTGCTGGGCCACACGCAGGCGCTCGGGGATTTCACAGGAGTCCCCAACCTCAGTGGCGCGTCCTTCCGCCTGACCAAGCTGCTGTGAGCCCTAGACAGGAGGACAGGTGCCAGGGGCTGGGACAGACACCCTGAGATAGGACGGATGCCCCCGGCTGGGACGGACGCTCAGGGCCAAGACGGGGTCCCTCGGCGCCCCGGCCTCCTTGCCCCTCTCCTAGATGGAGTCCCCTCACCGCTCAGGTCTCAGGGTGTGAGTGCCCTCGGGCCCCTTCTGTCAGCCCTTCCCGCTGCCCTTAAGGTGGGGCTCCCACCCCAGGAAGCAGGAGCCAGGTGTCAAGTGGCTGGGCCAGAGCCCAGGCCACAGGTCCCAGTGACGTGGCCGTGTCTGCGCTGCCCGAGCCCCGGCTTGTTCTTTGGGGATGAGGCAGGTAAGACTTAAAGGGGAGCTGAGCACCGTCCCTGGGAACGGGAAGTGGGATCGGAGCCCAGCACCACATTAGTGGGGCCTGCCCACGCCCTCAGCCGGAGCCTGTGCCCTGCGTCCTCAGGTGGAGGCCCGGGGACGGCGGGAACCTGCCCGTGCCCCGAGTCAGAGCGCTCAGTTCTAAGTCATTTCCAATTTAAAACGAGGGACCCTTGCCCCCTCTTCCCTGCCGGGGCGGCTGGGTTGAGTCACCGTCTCGGGGTTTTGAGAGCAGCTTGTGGGCTGTTCTGGGAGCTGGAGAGTCACCTGCAGGTGGCCCGGACAGTGGCCCGGGGTGAGGCTGCTCCGGTCCCACGGCCTCAGTGGATCCGGAGGCCCTGGGACGAGGCCTCAGGTTGTGCCCAGGTGCATCAAGGTGGCGGGCTCCCCACATGATCGGGCGAGGGACAGGCGTCAGCCTCATGCCCATGGCTGTCTGTGGCCTGGAGGGGACTTGGCTGCCACCACCCCACCCCACTCTGGGGGGGACGTGCCTCTGCCCTCAAGGGTGAGGGCTGCCTGGACCAGCACAGCAGCCTCCGCAGGGGGCTGTGCCCCCGGCCACGGCCCCCTCTGCACAGCCAGCCTCGGGGTGGGGAGGGCACGGCTCGGGCTGGAACAGAGCTCCAGACGGGCTGTCCAGAGGAGAGGGGCCGGCTCCCAGACCCGCCCCGTGCCAGCCCTGGCCAGGGGGTGGGGAGATGCCCTCACCTCCTTACCCGCCAGCCTGGCCACTAACGCCTGAGTCCATCACGGATGAGCACTGAGCGGCCCTTTCTTTGTGCTGGGTGCTGTGCTGAGTAGTTGGCACATTAGCTCATTAAAACTTCCCAACAGCCCTTCAGGGCAGGTGCTGTAACGACCTGTTTCTAGGTGAGGAACCCGAGGCCCAGGGGGAGAGGGCACAGGCCAGGTTCCAGAGCCACGGAGCCTCAGGGCTGGGTTAGGGCACCTGCCGGCCACCGGGCACCGTGCCCACTCTGGGTGTCTGGCCTGGATGAGACGGACTTGTTCTTGGCTGCGGGAGGCTCACGGGCCGAGAGCTGAGGGCGCATTAACAGGTCATTCAGGTGGCCCTGCAGATGTGGCCAGGAGAGGCTGACCCCACCTTGAGTCCGGAGGCTGGGGTCGGGCTCGCTAGACTTTGCAAACACACACGCAGTTCCCCGAGGCCACAGGGACGTCCAGGGCACCATGAAACACACCTCCACGCGGCGGCTGGTCAGTGCGCGGAGCCCCTCGGTCAGTGAGCCCCTGAGGTCAGGTGCGGCTGCGCGTCCTGCGTTCTGGCTGGAGGGAGGGCCTTCCTGGGGGGGGGTGTTCCAGATCGAGAGGAGCGAGGGAGGGCAGAAGCCTGAGTGGGGGCGGGGAGGGAGGGCCTGCAGCTGGGAGCCTGGGGGCTGGAGTGGGGCTTCCTGGGGTCAGGTCCCCCAGGGCTTTGTGGCCGAGGCAGGGAGCCTGGGTCTTGTCCCCATGGCAGGACTCCACTGGGCGTCTCCAGCTCAGGAGGAAGCGGCCTCCCCCTGGATGGGGCGTGGCAGGCCAAGGAGGCCTGCAGAGTGACCCTGCCCCGTGACCCCGCCTCTCCTCCTGTGGGCGTCCACAGCCTGCTCCTCCCTCCTCGAGCCTCAGACGTGAGTGGCTTGGAGCAGATGGTCGCCCCTGAACACTGTGGGCAGCAGCAACCACAGCTGCCATCCTCGTGCCCTCCCTGGGGGACAGCTCCCCTCCCCTGGCCGTCCCCAGCTGGAGGTGGTCCATGTCGCCTTTACACCCCAGACCCACCACACCTGGGCACAGAACTGTGTGTCACCTGGAGCCCACTGGGGCCCTGGGAGAGAGCGGAACAGAGTCCCAAGCAGCACTTCCAGATCTGCAGGGCCCTGGGCCCGGGGGCACCTGGTCAGGCTCCGTGGAAGGACACGGGGTGCTGGACCGGCAGGCTTTTGAGGGGCTGTTGTGGTCAGCTGCAGCCAGCTTTCCAGCTCGGGCCTGCTCTGCCCTCTCCGCGGGCTGAGGGACAGTGCCAGGCGCCCGTGGCTCTCGGAGCAGCTGTGGCAGCCGTCACGATCGGGTGCTGCACACGGTCCCTTGGCTCCCTGGGCTCCAGAGTCCACCAGCAACGTTCCAGCCAGCACTGCCCACTGGGGGACGTGTGAGAATAAACAGACTCGTCCCTGCTTGCTGGCCTGGCCCCATTGTGGTACCAGTGGAGGTAGACGGGGAGACTGTCACTTTACTGAACTTGGATCTCGGGTCTGTGTGTTTCACTTCTCCTCTCTTTGAAGATGTACCCAAATCAGGACTGTCTTCATTTAAACCAACTACACCAACTCGGATAGCTCTAGACAGGAGCTTCTTTTGGCAAACATCAATAGAGTGTTCAAGGAGGTGTGCTGGCTTCAGGCATAGCTGCATCCAGGAGCCCACATGACATTTTCAGGACCTGCTTTCTCTCCATCCATGTGTTGGTTCCGTTCTTGGAGGAGGGCAGTGGTGATGGGCAGACACATGCCTCCCGTGGTGTCCAAGGTGGTCCTTGGTGGCTCTGGGCTGCCGCTTGTCACCTTAGCGGCAACAGTTCTGTCACAGCTTCTCTTTCCAGTAGTTGCACCAGGGGCCCTGGTTCTGGCCAGGGTGTCCACTGGCCCAGCCTAGCCACATGGCCACTGTTGCCAGGACAGGCAGCTCTGACCGGCTAGGCCTGGTCACACGCTCACCCCTCATGCCTGGGGAAGGTGGAGCTGGATTGGGAGCCACAGGCCTCTCTCAGTTCCCCCTGCTTTCCTGTTTTCACTCATCAAACACCGTGATGCCTGCTCTCTGCCCAGCTCATGGGTCTGCACTGCTGCTCAGCGGGGGCCACAGCAGGTGTAGGCCTGCCCCTGGAGGGCTCGCGGCTCCAGGCCTGGGGGAGATGGACGGTGCATATCAGCATGTGGTCCAGGCCCGCAGCCTCCATCTGCCCGCTTCTTCCCCGGCCTCCCCAGGCCTCGCGTCTGCCCAGCCACTTCCTCCGGACTCTGCCTCTCAGAAAGTGCCAAGTTAGCCATCAGAATCTGCCCGCCCACTGCCCTGCCCACTGCCCCGCCCCGCCCACTGCCCTGCCCTGCCCCACATGGGTTCACTGGGGGATGATGAATTTCCTGAAGTAACACTGGTGACGCCGACACGCAGGATGACGCACCCCAGCCCTTTTTGCTTTTTTTTTGGGGTCCCAGGGATTGAACTTGGTGGCACTCGGCCACTGAGCCACGTCCCCAGCCCTGTTTTGTGTTTTATTAGAGACAGGGTCTCACTGGGTTGCTCAGGGCCTCGCTAAATTGCTGAGGCTGGCTTTGAACTCGTGATCCTCCTGCCCCAGCCTCCTGAGCTGCTGGGATGACAGGCGCAGGCCACCGCCCCCAGCCCATTTTTTGCTTTTTTGCTGAGTTGCCAAGGCTGACCTCCAACTCGGGATTCTCCTGCCTTGAGGCTCATTTGAGGCCAATGGAAACAGGGATGGTCAGCTTGGCACTGCGGTGCCGGCCCTCTTCCTGCCCGTGTGATTGCAGGGCTTGGGGGCTGCGCAGGCCGGGCGAGGCAGGGCGAGGCGGTGGAGGCCGGGCGAGGCGGTGGCTCTGTGGCGGCTCTGTGGCTCGGTGGGTCTCTGCACCGCTGTGAGGGTGTGACAGAGCCTTGGGCCTCAGGTCATCGACGGTCCCTGGGTGTGCGCTGCGTGCCCGTGTCTGTGTCTGTGCATGACGGTGACGTCGTCTGTGGTGTTTCCCTGACGACCTGTTTGTCCGTTTGTGGCTGTGCTTGTGGAGTGTTCAGAGGGTCACGGGCGCTCCCTGTGGCCGGGGACCCCCTGCTTGCTTTACGTGTGTTGTCCAGTCCTGCAGCGGCCGAGGGCCGGGCTCTGCTTTGTCCTCTTATGGGACACCATGCCGTGGAGGCGGAGCTGCTTTTCCTGGGGGGTGTGCGGGGGTTCACAGTGTCCTGCCGCAGTGCCCACTCTGGGTTTGTGGCCTGCCCACGTCCCCTGGGTGTTGGCCTCGGCTCCCGTCCCTACCCCACGCTGGGGGCTGGAGCTGGAGCTGGCGTGGGGTCAGGGCAGCTGCGTCCTGGTTCTGCTGTGTCCGGAGCTTGGAGACCCCGGGGCCAGAGGCCTGCCCTTGGCTTTCCCGTGTGTCCCCGGGTCCCCGTGAGGCTGTTGTGGAGGGAGGCAGAGCAGCATGGCCGTCCTGAGAGCCTGGGGGTGCCCGTGGCCTCGTCACCCAGGATGCCTCTGTGCGGGTGCCGTGCGGGGCCCTGCGTGTCGGTTCCGAAGCCCACCCTCCTGCTTGGTGTCCCCGTGCCCGGTCCTCCCCGGGGAGGATGCCTGGGGCCTGTCTGGAACCTGGACGGGCTGCAGCCGCCTCGTCCTCCCTGAGCGTCTTGAGGTCCGTCCACCCCGGCCCCAGGCTCTGCCTCCGTCCTCCCGGGGGCCTCAGGACGTCCTGCTTTGGGGCCTGGCAGGTCCCAGAGCCTCGGGGACTGGAGAGTTTGGTGGAGGGCTTCCTGCTTACAGAGGCCTCTGCCCCTCCCGGTTCTGGAAACCAGACGCAGGGCACAGACCTGGTGACCAGGGGCCCTCTGTGCTGGACAGAATCCAGGGGGGCCCAGGGGCGTCTGGAGATCACCGAGCTCCCCCAGAGTGCTGCCTCCCGACCCTGGTCAGTGCCCTTCCTGTTGGGGAGACTGAGGCACAGGGCCGGGTGGCCTGCCCGAGTTCACCCCCGGGGCCAGGCCCGCGCTCTGTCTGTCCCTGACCCCGGGGCTGAGCCTTCCGGAGGGACTGCTGGGTGCAGGACTGGGGCCGGGGAGCCGCATCCCGTGGGGTCCCGCGTGGCCCTTGTCCCCGCAGTGCTGACCTGTAGGCTCCTGGCCAGTGCCCTCAGGCCGTGCGCTTGCCTTGCAGAAGGACAAGTTCTGCGTCTACGAGGAATACTGCAGCAACCACGAGAAGGCCCTGCGGCTGCTGGTGGAGCTCAACAAGGCCCCCGCCGCCCGCGCCTTCCTCCTGGTGAGTGTGCCCCGCGCTGTCCCCGGCGCCGTCCCCGGTCCCTGGCGGGGCTCCTGGGTGGGGCGGGCATGGGAGGCTCTTCTCATGGCCAGTGGGAGGCCTTGTCCATCCCAGAGGTCCCATCAAGACTCGGCTCATGCCCAGTGGCCATAAATACTGAGGTGCCGTAAACAGCCTGGAAGGGGATGAGCCCGACCAGGTTCCAATAAAACTTCATTTGCAAAGTCAGGCCGCAGGCGGTCAGCTCTGCCAGTTCCCAACAAAAATGGCGGCAGTCATGGTTAACAATGGTAATGACGTGGTAGAATAATATTACTAGTATCATTGGTATCATTAGGGTCATTTGCTTATAATTGAAAGAAAATTTAAATAAAATGGGCTAAGCAAAGTGACAGGAAGAATGACGGGTTCACCTGTGCGGTTTTCTAAGAAGCTCAAGACCTGAGGGGCTTCAGGTGCAGCTGAGCCCAGGTGCTCAGATCTCATCGCCGGGATGTGCTCAAGACACAGACTCCACTCTTCTCTGCGTTGTCTTCATGGGGACTTCTGTGACCCCACACTACTAAGGGGCTTTCTAAAGTTCATACTGGAAGGTGGCTTAGCTCATCAGGGGTCCAGTCCAGGTCTTTGGCCTCTAAGTCCTCTCTCCATTCATGATGCCCTCCTGTGCTGTTCATTGCATTTTATTTCTCAGGTGTCGATGGACCTTTATTTTATTCATATTTTTTGGTGCTGAGAACCGAACCCAGGGCCTCACACCGGCCAGGCAAGCGCTCTGCCCCGAGCCCCACCCAGCCCCCGAGCTGGCTTTGATCAGCTGCAGCGAGTTCAGACGTGGAGCGTGGTGGGGACTGTGCACGGGCCCCAGGGAGCGGGCCGCGCCATCAGAGTCCCCGGGCGCAGCCTCCCTAGCGCATCCCCAGGATTCTGGTTCAGAACATTCGCCCCTGGGGCGAGGGGTCTGGCCTGGGCTGGGCCCCGACAGTGTCTGGGGGCAGGTGGTGGCTGTTTCCTTCCGTCCCAGGCACGTGGCCTGGGCGAGCTGCCGTGTCCCCCTCCTGCCCTGTGCCCGCCACAGCCCCTGTCTGCACTTGGGTTCATCGAGCTGGGCCCTCCCTGCAGCACAGGACGCAGGGGCCACCTTTCGGCCCCGCCTGTCCACTTCGGGCGGCACCGCCTTGCCCCGCCCCACTGCCCAGCCCGGGAGCTCCCGCTCAGCCTCCCGCCCCCCAGCATTCCCCCGGCCACTCGGGGCCTGCGAGGCAGGAGGGTGCCAGGAGGCCAGGCTGAGGAAGGAGCCCCCCTCGGTCCCTGCTGTCCCCTTCCTGGTGGGCCAGATGCTCTTTCCAGCGGCAGCTGGGCCAGGCCTGCGGGCAGCGGAGGACGCGAGGTGCCAGCGCTGGGCCATCTGTCTCTTCCTCCCCGTCTCCAGCTCTCGGCCACCTGCAGAAGAGCTGTCATGCGCCTGTCGTCAGTGTCAGAGCCTCGGGGACGACAGAATCTGGCTCTCTGCTCGGGATGTGCGGGCACCCACTGAGTGGCAGGCAGGGACGCCAGTGTCCTCTGCATGAGCTTTCTTGTCCATTAACTGGTGACAGTTTGTTCATTCATCAGCTTCTTACTGGGCACCTGTGATCTGCCAGGGGTCATTCTAAGTCCTGTGACTGCCACAGTGAACAGGGCCAGGCGAGGGCCACCTACCGGGGGTTGCAGGTGACAGGTCACGGGGTACGAAGTTCTCTGGAGGGCGTGAAGCGGGTGGGGGTGGCGGTGTGTCTTGAGGGAGTTGGGAGGTGCTGCTGTCTAGGTCGCTCTTTGGAGAAACTGTCTCAGCTCCTGTTTAAGCAGAGATGGGGGTTAAGTGGGGGGCAGGGTGACCTGGAGGCTGGCGTTCCAGGTAGACCAGCTGCAGGTGCAAAGGCCCTGAGGTGGGCGTGTGCTCGAGGAATAGCAGCAAGGCCGGGGCAGTGGAGCAAAGAGCCGGAGGAGACAGAGGGAAAACCAGCAACGGCAGCCACTTGGTCCTTGGAGAGCCTGAGAGTTTTGGGAACTTCGTTTTCTGTGTGTGTGTGTGTGTGTGTGTGTGTGTGTGTGTGTGTGTGTGTGTGTGTAGATGCTGATGGGCCTTTATTTTATTCATTTATTTGTATTCTGGGTTGAGTCGAACCCAGGGCCTCACATGTTAGACAAGGGCCCTGAGAAACCTTTTTACTGAGCTGCTTCAAGCACAGTGAGTGTCCTTGCAGGGGGGACACCACACCTGTCTGCCCCCAGGGGCCACCGCGGAGCCCACGGTGGGGACGTTCCTGCAGCAGAGGTCCCTCAGGCTCCTCCAGTCTGCCCTCTGGCCCCGGGTGACCTGGCTGTCCCTCTCAGCCAAGGTCGGTTTTCCCTGCGGACTCTCCCGAATCGGCTTGGGCTCTGGCTGTTTCTGACTCCCGCCCGTGAGCTGCGGCCGCGGGGCAGCACGGGGCCCTCTCGGGGCTTTTTCTCTGTGCCCTCCTCCTCCCTGTAAGGACAGAGTCATGGATTCAGGGTCCCCTCAGTCCTTGTGACAGTAATCACATCTGTCAAGATCCTGTTTACCAAATCAGGCCCCACCCTAAGGTTCTGGGGGGACACGGCATTTTGGGGATCACCACTCAGAACCACTGAGGGCTGCTGGAGCCGGAGGCAGTGGCTGAGAACAGGCCTTGGGGAGAACAGTTGGGTCCCCACAGTGTGAAGGCCTGTGCTGGCTCTGGGGCCTGGAGGAGGCGGCTAGGTGGGCCGCGGGGCGGGACCGGCCCTGCCCAGGGGGTGCACACTCGGCTGTGGGTGGGTCAGGTTCAGGTGCTGTGACAGGCCAGGTGAGGTGGCCACACCTCTGACCCCAGCAACGTGGGCGGAGGCAGGAGGGAGAGTTTGAGGCCAGCCTCAGCAACTTAGCGAGACCCTGTCTCAAAGTGCAAAAGGGGGCCGGGGGTAGCCCAGTGACAGAGTGCTCCTGGGTCCAGTGCCAGTGCCAGTGCCAAAAAAAGGAAAAGAAAAGGGCTGTGGCTGTCCCGTGGCTGTCCCGTGGCCGTCCCGTGGCTGTCCCATGGCTGTCCAGGTGGGGCGTCGGGCAGGCGGCCAGAGCCAGAGGTGGCGTGGAAGCCCGTCCGAGTGTGCGGTGTGCAGTGGCATCCGAGGCCGGGTCGGGTGGAGTGTGGAGGGGAGGGAGGGGCTGGGGTGGCCTCCAAGTGGCCCCCTCACCTGGACCTCTCTGGGACCTCGGGGGAGCCAGGTCATTCTGGAGAGAGGGGGTGACACTGTGTGTGCTAGGCTCCTCTCCCTTTTAAATGAAGGGGGCGTGAGCTGTGGCCGGATGGTCCTGTGAGGACGCCTTGGTCCTGGACGGAGACCGGCCTTCTGCAGCCAGCCCCGGTCTGTTGGAAAGAGCCCCTGCCTGGGCTCCCTGCCCCCTGCCTGGAACTGACATCACCAGGGCAGCTGGTGGCCAGCGCTGGCTCAGAGGACAAAGGCCTGAGTGTGGGCAGCGTGGGCCTGGCACCTCCCCGCTGCGGCCCGGGGCCCCGTCTGTGCTGGGGCAGACACGGTGGCGGGAGCAGAGCGGCTCAGCCACCAGGGACCTGGGTGGCAGAGCCGCCCCTCCAAGGAGGAGACACCACGGGTGCTGCAGGGAGGTGGGGCAGTGCGAGTGCCTGGGCCCCGTGTCTGTGCCAGGTGTCCCCAGTGCCGCTGGTCCCTAGGCTCCCTGTGTGTGAAGCCAGGCACAGTGGCCGCCATGTGGTGGGCACACGGCAGCCGTTCTCTGGCCTTATCTTCCCTTGACCGTACGCGGGCATTTGTTTGCTGGGCAGTTCCTGCGCTTGGGTGGGTGCCCAGGCTCAGCACCCATGAACGGACAGGTGAAGGATGATGGGGGAGCCCATCCCAGGATCTGTCCTCTGCCAGTCTGTGGGGAGGTGCAGAAGAGGAGGGCTGAGCCGCTCAGGGAGCAGTGCTGGCGGCCTGTCCACGTGTGTCCACTGTGCATGGCGTGAGCCTTGGGGACCCGAGACCGTCCACTCTAGACATTAATAATTCAGGCTCCCACCACCCAAAAAATGGCCTTAGGTTGGAGCCCCCTCCCCCCAGGAGAGGACAGTCCCTAGAGGGTGATGATGGCCGGGTGGAATGGTGGCCTACAGGGGGACCCAGGAGGAGGGGGTCCTGGCCCGGGAGTCCAGGTGGGGGCTGGGAAGCAGCATCGAGGTTCCAAGCCCAGGGCCCTCGTCGGCTGCCTGCTTGGTGCCACCTCTGTGGCCCGCTGCTTCTGGGGTGACTGACGGGGTGACCTGTATGACAGGCTGAACCTCCCAAACTCCAGACACGGGAAGAGCAAGTCTCAGTGGGCAGGGCCAGAGCCCTGGGCCTGCTGGGCTCCCGGGAGGCCCCGCCCTGGCCAGCAGTGCCCACGTCCCTAGCTGTGGGGAGGGGATCGTGGCGCACGCAGCCTCTGCTCTTCCTCTGCTGCCCAGGGTGCGCTGCCGGGGCTCCCCGCATGGCCCTGTGGGGTGCACTCCTGGGGTCACCACGTGGCCCTGTGGGGTGCACTTCTGGGGTCACCACGTGGCCGTGTGGGGTGCACTTCTGGGCCGTTGTGAATCCCTGGCGGCCCGACGTCCACAGAGAGGCAAGTGTCCCTACCTTCCAGCTGGGGGCCAGCCAGGGCGCCTCTCAGTTCTTGCTCTTTGGAACGAGGCCGTTTGGCCGGTCTGGGCCCCTGTCCCCTGTCCCCTGGTACGTGTGTGGTGAAGTCTGCCTTCACCAGGACTCAGCCGGCTTCTCTGCAGAGGGCCAGTAGTGACGTCTCAGGTCTCCCAACGGTTTGGTCTCTTCTGCAGCCGCTGGCCTCTGCCTCCACGTTTGGAAGCGGCCAGAGGAGGCGGCAGTGGATGTGTTCTACGAGACTTCCAGCCAGGCGCAGCAGGACGGGGCCCATGGTCCACCACCCCCGTGTGGCCTCACCTCTCCTGGGGTCATGAATTTTCTTTCTCGGCGCTGCTTTGCGATTCCTTGGGGACGTGAGGACACCCGGACCTGTGCTGCCCTTGGTGAGTTAACGAGGGTCTCTGTTCCTTTGCAGAGCTGTATGCTGCTGGGAGGCCGGAAGACCACGGACATCCCCCTGGAGGGCTACCTGCTGTCTCCCATCCAGCGGATCTGCAAGTACCCGCTGCTGCTCAAGGTGAGCCACGCCCTTCCAGCCACAGCTTCCCAGAGGGAGGAGGGGTGGCGCCCAGCCCAGGACTGGGCACAAGGGCCCTTCACCAAGCTCTGTTCCTGGGAAGCAGGGAATGAGGAGGCACAGGGGCTGGGTTGGCAGCCAACCACCGTCCACGGCCTGCGTGTCCTGCCCTGCCCAGCAACTGGTCCAGCCTGGGTCCTGCAGGCCAGGCTCAGGCCTTTTGCTTGCCTGGAAGATCGGAGGCTTGGTTCTGGGTGTCGGAGTCCCTGGGGCAGATCGGGCTGAGGGACAGCGGTCCACCATCTGCTGTCTCAGCCCTGTCCTGAGGGCCTGTCCCGAGGGCCTGTGTCTGACAACGCTTCCTGGGCTCCCTGCTTGGCAGGTTCTGGGCTGATGCCCCCTCTGGGACCCTGGTGCCCCTCTCCGGGACCCTGGTGCCCCCCGTGGGACCCTGGTGCCCCCTCCGGGACCCTGGTGCCCACTCTGGGACCCTGGTGCCCGTGGGACCCTGGCTCCGTGTGCTGGAAGGCGAGGGGGGCGGGAGCCAGCGAGACCTTGAA